ACTCAAATAAACTTTTATATATAAATTAAATTTTAATTATTAAATTAATAAATTTATGAATTATTAATGCTTATTAATGAATTATTAAATAATTAATTAAGATATAAGTTAAATGGCATATCAGGTGGTTTGAAGCAATCTAATTATAGATCAGGAGGGAAAATGATTGGAGTGATTCAACTGGAACAATAAATTTCTGTTTTCAATTAAAATCGATGATGATACCTTGAGCCCAAAATTATTCGGAATATCGATAAAAATAGATTTATACAGGCGTTCAAATCCTCCATGGGTTTTAAAGAAGATGGTGAAACAACTTCCGTCGCCCAATTTTATAATATTGATTAACCAGTTCATTCGGGAACTTGATCGAGTTTATAAGGGAATCTCAATAATGCTTAGAGGTATTTTTGTTAATCAACACTGAAAATTCCGTAAAGTTTACGAATTTTTTTTTGATAATTTTATTGTAAGAAACGAAGAAATTAAAAAAATTAAATATTTCTAAGTTTCTACGTTCATAGAAGTAGTTGGATCGGAATATCAGAATGCCGGCCAGAAAATTACGAACTGTATATATTACATAAGTTTTAAGATAGTTATGTTACAAGCGGGAAATTCAAATTTATTTCTCGAGTATCAATCAAAAGAAAAAAAACTGAAGGAAGTAGTGAATAAAGTAATGTCGAACGAAGATTACCCGTTCTTAATAAAGAAAATAGAAATTTCGATTTTTAGGCCATTCCTGTTTGAAAGAAAAAATGGGTAAAAATAGCATAATTTGAAAATGAAAGTATTAAACAATTGGCCAAATCTGAAAAGTCACAATTCCATTTTTTAAAAATATTATGAGAAATAATAGTAAGTGTAGAATTCAACAACCATCACCTGCTTTATTAATAAAATTTTTATTTAACATTATAGAAATAAAACGAAAAGAAATTTCCACTTTTTATTTTTATAATTTAGTAACGAGTTTTCATATTTTATCAAGTAAGAAAATAATTGGTGATGTTGCTACTAAAATACCATTTTAATATTCATTATTGCTGAAAAGTTTCTTTGTTGTCATGCTGCGCCACACTTTTTAATCAAATCGATCTTTTAGGATGTGTTTGTGTTTTTAAAATAAACTTTCTAAACATTTAATTTAATTCTAATTTTTATGAGGAATTATTGCATTATTGCATTATCATTATTATAATTAACAATGAATGTTTATTGAATGACACTTAACAAAAATTTTACTTGATTATTTTTTTAAAAAATTATAATATAAGTTTAAAATGAAAATTAATTATCAATAAATTTTGAGTAAATTATTTTATTATACATATTTAATTATACTTAATATTCAAAAAATTGTAATTATTCATTATGTCGTTAATTTTTCATAAAAAATAAATGAGTTTTGCTTACTAAATTAGGCTTAGACTTTCCATTTGATGATCGTCATCACATCTGATAATTTTATGAACAAATCACTATCGCAGGTTGTTATGCTGTTATGCTTGTTGTGATTGATTGGACTCCTTTATTTCCGGAATTTATCTTAATGAACGACGTCCCTTCTTTAAACTTAGGAAAATCACAACGTCTGTCTTCATTTTACATGTCGCCAAAGGAACCTTCGTAAGAGACTCAATGACAGCATATTGCAAGCTTGGAAGTTGAAACAAAGACAACTTTTTATCTGCTGTTCATAGATACCTCGCTTATTTAGCTTTCACAACCCTGATTACGACCTTTCCTTTTCAACTAAGCGAACAAAACTGGGCTTTTTCACTAACTCTTGGAAAGAATTTAATAATATGGAAGGTTTGGTAAAAGCGTTATAATCGAGTTATGAATTATATGTTCATAACTCGATTTTTATAGCAAACCTTAGAAGAAATCAACTAGGAAAATGAAGATGATGTCTCCCATAGGAGTAGGAGGAATAAATGATAATCAACCTAGTAAAAATGATGATGACGATAATCGTTCAGGTAATTTATTTTATTTTATCTTTTTATGTAACAAAAAAATATATTTTTTATAATGAGAAATGATGAAAATTTATATTTTATATTGTAAATACTCAGATTGTCGTCATGAAAATACAATGTCGTAAAGGTAAATAAAAACGGAATACTTATTTCGTATAAAGGACTTGAATAAAAGGTATATGGGAGGTTTGCTATTAAAATCACTTTAGGACCATATTATTTACTATATTCATAACTCGATTTTAATAGCAAACCTCAACAATCAATTTTTCTTTTATATATATCAAGAAATATTTTAGATTTATCATTCTACAGTATTTTTCTTTTAAGGTTATATATATGTTAGTGATTAAATAAATTTTTTTGATTCAATTTATAATTATTTTTTTTTTTATTCTTCTATTTGAATTATCTAATTGAACTTTTTTCAATTTATATAAATTATTATTGGCCAGTCTATTAGGATCATGCTGATTTTGATGGACTGATATTTTTTGCCAACGGCTATATATCAAATATAATAGATTTTTATAACTTTCAAATATTATTAAAGCATGATCTTTGTGTGACTGACGAAAAACTAGTTATTATTTGATTTTTTTATTTTATTAAATTTAAAACATTTAATTTTATATTTAAATTATTATGGTTACGGTACAAATTTTTCTATTCAGTTTTTTATTTCATTTCTGATTTTTTTAATTAATTTTTTAATACGATATATTTCTTTTTTTACAGTAATTTATTTATTTAAAAAAAATTGACCTGCAAGGCTAAGCATTTTATTGGATGTTTGATATACAACGTATTCATTAATCATTAATTAAATAAATCTTTTAATAAAACGGGAAAGGCAAAGAATTAAACTGAACCTGAGTATGGTCAAATTAACGGTGGTTAATTTATTTTTTTTAATATCACGAATTTTTTCTAACTTATGTTTTTTTTTTTAATCTTCGTTTTATTTTTGATTTTTAATTTTTTCGGATTTTAATTTATTTTTCAATACATGTTTATTAATTTTTAAATTGGAGTAATTTTTTTTTTAAAATCGAAATGTCCAAAATAATAAATTTCTAAAAATAAATTGTGGTATTTTGACTTATGAAGTAATCAAAAGTGAGTACTTTATTTTGTGTGTTCAGAGTTTGGGCTGCGCTTCGAATTAAAAATCCTCCTTCAAATTCGAATTATGAATTATTCGGATGAACTGGAATGTATAGATTTTAAAAATTATGAAGGCTAATCCTATATATTTTATTTTAAGATAATTGGCAAATCCCAAAATATAAATAATCATTTCTTGCGGAAAATCGTTGAATCATATAAATTTAGAAAAAATTTGATATTTAAAATTATCAAATTATTGTTCATTTTTCATGTTTCTTCAAGAATTATATTAATTATATTATTAAAATTTTATTTTTTTATGGCCACCAAAATATTTTTCTATTTAAATATTTTTATTTTATTGGATATTTACCACGTACTAAAATTTTGCATTTACGTTTGACCTATTTTTGACATTGGAATTGTTTAATATCACAATTGGCATTATGAGTTATATTCCAACTAGTACTATTATCAGTTGAACATATATCAAAGGGGTCCCGAAGAAACTTAAGTTCATTTATTTGGCCATTTGTGGCAGTTATTACGCATCTATTAGTATCATTTCCGACTATTGGACAATAAATATGACCAGAATCACAAGATTGTCCGCAAAATGAAGGTATTGAGTCAGATATTTCAACATTAAAATTTTGTAAGGTAGCGCTTATTATTGATGCCGCCATATTATTATACGTACTTTGTTTAATAGAATTATATATGTCATCGTCATTTGCAAGTATTTGATCATAATTTACCCTTTGATTGACAGTAAAACTAGCTAATATTGACTTGTTTCCAGCAAAAAAATTATTGTTTAATGTATCTTCAAAATGGAATTGGAGATGCTCACTTGCGGCTGATAGATATGATGATATATCTGGATAGTTTTAATCATTGCCGATAAATGATTGATGAACATTTTCCATCAAACCTGGAAGAAAGTACATATTCACCAGGTTAGTCGTAAAAACTCCTAAATTATCCACCGGCATCGTGTCTCTTTTTGCACGTAGGCCGGCCCTATTCAAAGCTCCAAGGATTATTGCAATATTCGTGTTCTTTGATTCTTGATAGAATGCTGAAATTGCTCTAATTCCGGCTTCTTCGCAACCTGAACCTTCGTAAATGCACGGTTCTACATAATGGCTAACTCGGAGGTATTCTAAATATTGCCGTTCTGCCTCATGAGCGGCCCGAGTTTCCTGCGCGGCAAGTCGCCAACGTACCGCTGCATTTCTGGCTATTGATCCTTCAACTGACGTTGCTATAGCATCATCTGAAGCACCAAATTCGGCAGCGAATTCGGAGATGCTTGCCACAATCCTACCTATGCATGCTGCGCCGACATCAAAAATTGATCCAGCCATAGGAACAGCAATGATGGCAATGAAAACGGCTAAAGGAATTAAAATCTCTGCAAGCAAATTTTCTTTAGGCGGTGGCGGTGGCGGTGGGATCAATTCTTTTAGATTATCAAGAGTCATTTTAACACTTAGTTCATCAAGGGCATCATGGAACCCTCGATGGTGCCTCTCCCAATAATTGAATAGCTTGTTTGCCGAATCAATCATGTGATATGTAGCAACACCATAACCATCAGGATTGAACGAACTGCCTGAACCGAATTGAAGGGATGCAGCATATGTTCCAACTTCATTACCAGTCAAATAATCGATGCATTCGGCTACATGTTCTGTTTGATTAATAGCCCATTCGGGTGCATCTGGGTGTTTGCCTTCACTGCAATATTTTGCAGTTAAATCAGTTGGATATACATGATTCGAGTCAGGTGTGGATCCCTTATATGTAATTTTAGGTGTCGGAATAAGTTTCATCGTATAATTACTTAAATTACATTTGTAGTTATCAAAGTTTTTTTTGGTATACGACGAAACCGAAAGATCATCTCTGTTTATTTTCACCATAAAGCTGAAGTTACAATCATAAGTACATCCCCACATAGTGATGTTTAAAGTTGTTAAAGGTGGCTCATGCCTTATAGTTTGAACATCCCTGACCAAAAGTGACGTTGAATAAGTAATGCCATCATCGTCAATATGAAACGCCGCACGATTAGAAGGTACGACCTGGTCGCACATATTAAAATCATGTTCTACGGTGATCCAATCAGCAAGAACTGCTGATGAAAAATATATAAAAATGTATAGTAACGTTATCTTCATAGTGATTTAATTTTTTTCCCTTGTCGAAAAAATCAGAGATCTTATATACTGTATAATACCCTCGAAATCACATTTTCCAGGGGAGATCACATGCCTTTAATCCATTTCGGTATCCTAATTCTTTTTTTATTTATTTTATTTTTTTTCATTCAACATTTAAGAAAATGGAAGCCAAATATTGTTAATTCTGCGATTTTCATAATCGGAATTGCATTTTTTTTTTGAACTTTATTAAGTTTTATTGTATACAGTCGATCTCGGAACAGTCGATCTCTCTTCGATTTATAATCCATTGTTAACCTTATAGAAAAAAAAAGAAAATAAATAGTCAAACATTCATTACATTTCGAACATTAACGGTTCATGGCATAAGCGAAATTTAATACCAAAATGATCTAACTATATTGTGACTGAAATTGATTTTGTTTGATGTTGGAATCCCAGTCGATCTTCGAGAAACATATAAAAAACTATTTTTAAGCCATCAAACAATATGCCAAATTTTTTTTTTAATATTTAAAGGAGGATCTGTGTTACGGTAAATTTTTATTACTTGAACGACAATAAATTTTATTTTATTTTTTTATTTGATTTTTTATCGTTTTATTTTTCTAGGTTTTAATTTTTCTTCCTTTTTCTATTTTTAAAAATAATTATTATTTTCTTTTATAATTTTTTTATTGTTAAATTGATCGAATGTAAGTTTCTTTTTTTATTTTTTTATTTTTTATTTTCTTTTATACTTTTATTTTTTTCTTTTTGATTTTATTTTCATGATCGTATGAATGTTATGTCATTTAAATTAAGTTGTTATTTATTTTTTTTTTTCAATTTTATTGTTAAATTTTTTTTTTTTATAATGATCAATTCAACTTTTTATAGATATTAGACTGTATTTTTTAAATCTTAATTATAAAGAGAATTTTTTTTTCATTATAATAATTTCATTCAAAGCAAGCAAGAAAATAAACAATTAAAAAAAAAACATAAAAATTATATTAGTTAAAATAAATTGCTTATATGTATATGTAGGTAATAGATTTTTCATATTTCTTTAATTTTAATATATAAATACATAATTTGTCTAAAATTCAAATTCTATCTAAAGTCTTAGATATCTAATTTCAGATGACTTTATATCTGAAATATAATTTTAGATATCCTAATTTTAGAAAGTAATTTAAACTTATTATTTATTTTAAAATACTAATATATAAATTAAACTAATTATTCTTAAATATTTTAGATATTTTAAAAAATAGAATAAATTTATTACTGTAATTTATTATTTATGAAAATAGAAATAAAAAATGACATCAATATAATAGATAATAAATTAAAGAGTTTTATAA